ACTCTGGAGGAATGCGATTGGAAACACAACAAGCGCTGCGTGCGCGCTGAGGGAGAGGAGACGCGGCGTTGTTCACCCAGCGGTGGACTCCACGGTGACTCACGCGCCCAGACCCAGACAGAGGGAACCGGGACAGGGGCGTGGATGCACAGGAGTCTGATAAGGACATGAAAGAGACGGGATGAGCACACTTCAGCCTGGAGTGCAGAGGTTTCTCGCACCTGAGCACAGCGAGAGAAGATGCAAGACAGAGCAGTCAGTCGGGGGCCAGCTGACACATGGCTGCTCACAGACAGCAATCGCACAGGCCAGCAAACGTGGTCAGATCCAAAAGTGAAAGGAGACACATGTACAGGGAATATGTCATAAAGAGCACACCTACTCTCACGCACAGACACACCACCCAGCCGAGGCCCCAACATTACACTAGGTATTCGACAAGGTGCTTTTCTTCACTTTCTCCATGGCAGCGACCTCCAGCCCTTCTCCAGCAGTTTCCAAAGACCGGGAACATTTCGGCCCTCAATCACACGGGTCATTTGTTTTAAATGAAGCACTTAGGAGTTCAAAAAAAAAATATGGATCTGATCGGGATCTTTAAAGAGCAGGTGAATCAGGGCGACCGATAAGACGAGGTGGATGGCGCACAGAGGAGGTGTGGTCCGGAGGAACAGCTCCCTGACAGAAGGAAGAGAGAGGAGAGCTCTTTACACACAGAGAGCCCCAGGTTTCAGGTTTTAAGTGCTAGAAATGCACAACTGTCTAAGTAAAAGAATGATATTCTCTTGATTACATAATTAATTAGATTAATAAAAGAAAAATGAACGGAACGGGCTCTCCTTCAACCTGTGACTCATTCAGTTTTATCTCCCCCTAGTTCATCCAGCAGGACCGGCTGGACGGTGATAGCAAACACCCTGGTATAAAGCATTTCAAAAAGAAACACACATATTCTCTAAAAACACTGCAGAAAAAAATAACCTGGCGCTACAGTAGCGAGCATATTAAGGCAATTTCCCAGTAAATCCTGCTTCGAGAAATGTAAAAATATTCTGGCATTAGAGATTTCCAAGATAAATCATGTTTTGATGAATGTAAGGTGATGGCAGATTATCATTTTTTACCTTAGACCAATCTCAACAGGAACAAACTTGCCCCTCTAATTTAACAAGAAATGAACTCGTCTGAAAGAGACTTCCTGAGCTGTTAAACCGTGGCTGGGAATTAACTCGGGGACGTACGCAGCTAAGGACAGGCAGACGGCTCTCACACCGCACACACAAACTCACACGGATGGAAGAGCCTTGTTCTGGCAGCTGTGTTGCCTGGAACAGGCTCAGCTCATGAGGCAGAAGAGGCATCTAAGCCCAGGCCGACCGCAGACAGCCACAAGGAACAGAAACAATGGGATTTGGAGATCTGACGGCGCAGCAGCACAATGCAGGTAGTGTGAACTGCGCTCCCTGGAAGGCACAGCTAAGACAGCACAGACAGGAGAACAAATAGAGCAGGGGCTTATCAAAGCCTTTCTTTTCTTGCACAAACTGTAGCTTAACAATTGAAGTGTTTACATCAAGACCCAGCACTTCTTACTTGCGACAATACAGTAAACACTGCCCTGCACCCAGCCAAGACTGGCTCGAACCGTTACAGTCCGCCCGGTTTTTGAAACGCCCAGCCGCAGATATGCCCACGTTGGCGCCCCTCACCTCCTGAGACGCCAACCTCGCCAACCCAATAAATGACTCAAATGTAAAAAAAAAAAGATTTTATTTCTTAAGCCACTCTTATCCGACTCTGAACTCTCTTCAGGTTTATTGACCCCTCCTGGCATGTGATCGGCTTGGACGAGGGATCTAACCGGGGACGGGGGAGTGAACTCATATCACTGCAGCTCGCTGCAGCCGAACTCATATCACTGCAGCCACTGTGATACCTGGGATTAGTGGACTGACAGTGCCCTTCTGTGGCTTTAGTGCAGAAATCTTTGACAGACAGTTTTTGGTTCCTTGGGACAGACAGAGTCAGGGCTGTCCTCAGCCCTGTCAGGCCTTAAGCTCTTTTCCCCTGTTGCTGCAGGGGGGGGTTCCCTGTTAACCATTAACACAAGATTAAGACACTGGCATTCCCTTGCAGTGAACTCACAGATCAACAATACTTTTGCCAGGAAGCCCAGGAGACAACGCTTAACCCCCGCAGCCCTGTCAAGGACAGACACACACACACACACAGGCCCGTGTCTCCCCCTCACCTGCGTGACTCACGGAGACCGGGGGCAGACACGCTACCCAACACACAGACAGGAAACCACGCCGTGCTCCGCCGGCTGCAACACGTGAAGCTGAAATAACTCCGCGTGGAGTGGCGAACGCAGAGCTGTGCCGAGCGTTTCCCTGCTTTCCGCACAAGCGTAGGTATCACGAACAAGGCACCTCATAACTAGCACGTTTGTGCTTGGAAGTGTTATACATTCTGTTTAACCCTCCATCTATACACACACAATACCATTTTCTAAAAGTGTGATGGGAGAGACTCGTCACAATACAATGGCTGGTAGGTCGGTTATGGATCTGAACTACGTTTCCTCTGCTCAGACAAACAAGGTGGTCACACTTCCGTCACAGCGGCTGTCTGTGTCAGCTGTCTAACAGGGGAAAAGTTCACTGCTCCTTGCTCCCGGCCATCAATGACTCTTTATGCGGAGCCGAGCTTCAGTGCTATGGGGGACTCGCTGTGTGTTTTACTGCAGCAGGACTCCAGTGCCTAGCAACAGGCCTTTCTCCCTCATAAGTTGATCCCATTGTCCAGTGTCTGGAGAGTGAGTGGGAGACAGGGAGAGAGTGAGTCATCTGGATGCCACTGGGGGACAATAGCGCCCTACTGTGGAAGGGCAAGGAATGGCGGGGGGGGGGGGGGGGGTACAGGAGGTTTTGTGGGGATTGCATTGTACTGATGAAAAGGCACCGAGACATTACTTCATACATCCCACACTATGGCGGTATTAGTAACTCCTGCTTCACCAGGGGGCACAGCCCATTCGCAAGCTTCCCTGAACACCCACCGCAAAACACCTCCTGACCGGTTACACACCGGTTTGCACACCAGCAGACGTGACAAAGCGCAAAGCCCTCTGGAGCTGGGAGGCGAAGACGGCCCCGATGACACACATCCCTGCAGCTCGCCGGCCCTGCTGGCCGATTCAGGGTCTCCCGCGTGAGTGAGGTGTGACAGGGAGTCTGGCCGTGTTACACCGCATGGAAGGGAGCCGCCAGATGAGGGCCGGCCTGGCTGATTTCCTCAGGGAAAATAAAAACAAGGTTTTCTTTCTGAAATCCCAGGTTCCTGGTTGGATATGTATATATAACCCGTTTTGCTTTTGCAGCCTGCGTTTTTTGGGGTTCGTTTGGGACTTGCGGGTCGCTGAGGGATGGTGTGCAGGGTGGGGTTCAGGCGAGACTGCAGTGTGTCCCCTTGCTTTCCGCTGCAGGCCTGCCGTGTGAAAACCAAGGCACGCTCAAGTGGATGCCTGTCTGTTGCCTTCAGCTAAGCCGCGTAACAGCTGGGACATTTTAAAGCGGCACACAGACACCTACAGTAGATATAGCTGAGCACACCCGTCTCCCAGTCCTCCCAGTTATCTTGGACTGGTGCTCCTTCCCACATCCAACACCACGGCGTCCCCGATCTCGCCGTAGGGCTCTCCAGGAGGAGCTCGGCAGGAGGCTCGCTTATACTCTGGTAAGCCCTTCCAACCTGCACAACCTCTCTTCCCCTCTCTTTAACTCTCTCTTTCCCAGACTGCATTCCTGCACAGTGAGTTCATCCGCCGAGGAGAGAAAAATACGGTACTGCAGCAGCTTAGCAGAAATTCAGAAGAAAAGCGCAAAGACAAAACGGGACATGCAGACAAGTCTATAGAGAAGAACCTACGTAACGACAGCTACATTTAAATAACACGTTGGTGTTCCTGAGACACCTGCATTGCACTTTCTACACCAGCACCACTACTGTACTTGTCTTTATTTCAGTTTTATTGTACTTGATCAGACTAATCACAGCTGCTGTACCCTGTTGGACCTGCCTGTACTGTAAAACTTTGGGAACTCTGCCGGACGCCCTGTGTCACACACGACTCTAAGCAACCTGCTATCCCAAAGCCAAGGTCTTCGAGACCAATCCTGAATTTAAAGTGCTCGTGTCTCTTACGACTTAAAAACTGACCTACTAGGGGCTCAAGCTGCGAATATAGCAAAGGTACAAGCTGCCGATCACAGCTCCTCGAATTAAGACGCTTCAACGTGGAGAACTCATCTCGGAGAGCCTGGTTTTGACTGGTTGCTGACGACACATCTTGCTTTGTAATGCGTCGTTCTAAGTCACATAAGCACACCCCGAGATGTTAATATCGGCCTTTTATGTGAGCGTCTGCATCAGGCTCTGAAGGAGGTACTCCAGGCCCTCTTGTTCGTGTCTGCTCCATATTGTGCCCGGTGGTGTGTCCCACACCAAACACATGATCAACGACTGTCGTTTCCGCTCAAAGGACAGATCTGTCAATCTCAAGACCCTGTGCATGACTCTTTCATGACGGAAGAGTGGGAAGAGAACGGATGAGCGGGAGAGGGGGGCAGAAAACGCGGGATGAGCCGCAACGTGCACACCAGGAGAGAGAAGTTCCCAGGAGGGCGATGCCTGTGTTGGCATGCGTGCCCAGTGCCCAGGGGATGGGAGCTCAGCTATTGTGCTCATTGGGAGTCTAATGGCCACAGTGCGTTAATCCCGGGGGTCCCAGTGCGCCTACTCTGTGGCCTGATGTGCTCAGCTCTCTGAAAAGTGTGGCTGGGCCTGAGCCAGTCAGCCAGGAACAGGACTGCATCAAAGCCACAGCTCCACTGTGTCCCATTGTTCCCAGCCCCTGCTCAGAGGAAACAGGGGCTGCGCTGTTATTGTTGGACTGCAGAAGGAGACACGGAGAGAACGTTTGGAAAAGCAATTTGTACCTGAGTCACTCCGGATGGGAATGATGCGTTTTTTTTTTCCGACGGGATCAGGAATTCCGAAGGACAGGGAGACACCTGGGACAGCGAGCAAACAAACAACAACAGGCTGGTAAAAACAAAAAACAGGATTCCGAAGCCTCAAGCCCTCCCTCACATTGCTGAGAGACTCATGTAATCTGGTCGGTCTTGTACAGCCCACCCCCATCAGTCCCGTCAAGAAACTAAAGTCAGTCTAACCACCCAGTGACAAATAAGGGGAAAAAGAACACTCTTAAGTGCTAACCTCAACTGCCCTCTTTCTGGAAGAACAGATTTTAGAAACAGATGACTAAACATCCTGATCTACCGTACGCGTGCCCAGTACCCATGATGACCCAGGCTCGCGTCTCAAAGAAAAGGCGAAGATAAAAAACCACCCACACCAGTTTAGATTTCACTACACTATGGCGGGCAAAAGCCTTAACAGGAGGGTTTGCTGAGAATGGGAGCACCCTGCCCTGGAGCTGGAGTCAGAGCCTTCTAGCTTTCAGTCTGGCTGAGCTCTCAGGTTTACAGCTCAGTGTTCTGCATCCCCGTCACGGAGCACAGCCCAGGGGTCTGATCCAAGCGCTCCCTTCATAAGGACTTGACGCCTCTCTCCGTAAAGAGCCCTTAACTCTCTAACATGTGCTCACCTCTTTAAAATGAAAGCCTACGTATGATCCGCACACGCAATGCAGAGCAGAGCACCCTCTGGAGATAAACGGCCGGGGGCTATTTGCACCCCCTGGGGGGAAATGGGCAGCGGGGAGCGGGGCTGGTTCGGAAGTCTCTGACCCGGCTGTGAAAGGCACGCGGTGCTGATGCAGTTAATGGACCCCGCGCGGGGTTCTGGACGCTGGTCAGAGAAGACGTGAACCGGGAAAGCAATCGGTACGACCCAAGCCAAACCGCTAGAGGAGAGATGCAGTCGAGGACAGGTTCCGGATTCAAGGCCACTTGTAATATTAGGGAGAGCAAGAGAGGTAGTGCCAGGCAAGGCGTTCCTACGGAGCTACCAATACCGAGCAGTGAGACGAGAGCGGGAGAGGGATGTCTGGACGTGGAAGGGTGCGGTAGCCAGCGAGCTGTCCTGATTGGTTAACGGGTCTGATCTGGGGCGTTCGCGGGGTCCGCCTCCGGCTGGTGCTTGATTGGGGCGAGACCGTGTGTGTGGAGGACCCCGGCGAGCAGCGGGGGGGCGACAGCTGAGCCCGGAGCGGTCCGAAAGGCCCCAGGCGATGGGGGGGGTGAGCTGGGGGAACGTCTTGGCTAGGGGGAGGTTGTGTCAGCCTGACAGTCGCAGACATGAGGCGGCCCGGTTAGTCATGAGGGAGCGTGTGGACTGGAATACGCCGCACAGCCCTGGAGCAGCCCTGTGGGTTTATTACACAACCAGCCCCTGCTCTCACACACCTGGCTCCTGCGCACGTCCGCCGGCTTCAGCGCCTGATGTCAGTGGAAAATACAGGCAGCCGAGGTCTCTGGCTCCTCAGGTACTTCTGAGCAGGGCTGGTATTCCCCTGCCTGAATCCCGAAGGTGGTGATGTAAATCCCTTCGCAGATCGGCAGGGTATTTCTCCCTAACCCCCGGGAAGCCCAGGGTCTCCGCCTGGAGCAGCAGCAGTGGGTCCGGACACCGCGGGTCCCCGGGGAAGCGGCGAAGGCCCGCGCAGCTGTCCTGGAGCGCTGCCGGAGCCAGGAGGGCTCGAGGACGCCTGCATCCTCCCCCCCCCCCCACCGTGGCTGGCTGGGGACCCCGCAGACCCGTGGCGCTGACCACTCGGTGACCAATGTGACACCAAGCAAGCCAGAGACCCGACCTTGAGTCTGCTCTGCCGCCCCTGTGGCTGTGTCTTCACATACGCAGGGGGGGCTTGTCTCGGATCGTGAGAGATTCCTCGGCACTGAGGAGGGAAATGTCCCCCTTTGCTTCCCTGCCCCAGACCTATTCCTTCCCCATATTTACTGTACAAATAAATTGGGGGCTCTTTATCGGGACTAAGCGGAGCAGCTTTTGGAATCGGACCTTTCGAGAAGGGCTCTGCGCTCCTCGGTGTGTTCGGCTGTAAAACTGTTACATTCTTCCACAGGGCGTGAGAGAGTGATACGAGAAAAGAGGGACTGAGAAAGTGGAGAAAGAAAGGGATGACTTCATGGTTTAGACAGATACACACAGAGCTCCTCCTACCTTCAGGCGCTACTCCACGAGGACCTGACAGCTCACCGAGAACCGTGCTGATTCACCAGTGGTACCCCAACACCGTCTTCAAGGCAGCTGGATTCGGGGGCTCTGGAACTCCTTCCCAGCCCATATCAGAAAGGCAATAAAAAAACAGCGGATTGTGGAAAACTTTATTTGTGACTTGTCTTTAATGTAACTCTGCAGGATTTATTTTTAGTTTTCTACATCACCCTGCATTGTCCAGGGATGTGTTAGTGAATCTGTATTTTCTACAACGTAATTTTTATTCCTCTACGACAGAAAAATAAAATTGGTTTGTATTGAGACTGAGAACTGACAGAGTAAAGAAACTAAAAGTTCCCGTGAATATTGCACTGACATCATTCAATGTCGTAACTTCTCTATCTGTTTATATTGCATAATACCTATTCATGTGGAAATCTCGGACTGTTACAGACTCTTAAGATATTTATACTCTTGATTCTCCATCATTGTGTGGTACAGGGCTACCCATCTTGTGGCTCCTCCAGTCTGCTCCACTGTTGGACTTCCATCTAACCAGCTCCATAACTGTTACACAGCTCCCTCTTAATGCCAATTAACTAATTAAGGAGCTGGCAGGAGCAGAATTCTGAGAGGGAGCGGACAGGGAGCCGCAAGCTGAGTAGCGCCTTTCGGCTTCTATCTCACGTGCCCAAGACGAAGAACGAGAGCTGCAACGGTGAAAGACGGGGTTCATTCTAAAGCCCGCTGAAAAACATACCGCCGTAATGAGTACGGTATCATCGCGGGACGCGTCAGTATTATCGCTGGATTCGTGACACGCACTGGCAGTCAGTGGAGCCGGGAGCCGGTGACAGATGCGCTCTCTCCCAGCGGGACAGATCGAAACGGTCCGGCCCCGACAGCGGCGCGGGCTGCAGAGGGCTTGTAGAGCGGTCTGCGAGCGAGGCCAGGCGCCCCCCTCCCCTCCACCTCTCTCCCTCTGCCCGGGCCTGCCTCGTGGCCTGCGCTAATTGCCGGGTTGCAACATATACTTTTCCCCTCAGCAATGCAAATCTGCAGGTGTAGCACAAAGCACTCCCTGTCTCTCGGGCTGTGCGAGTGCCAGTTCGGGAAGCGTGTGTAAGTGTTCGAGACCCGAGGAAAAAAAAATACTACAGTTACTGCAAAAATTCTATAATAACAAGGCACGGCACCCCAAAAGCTATAGTTAATGCGCTTAGTTTTGCATCCAGTACGAATTGTTGTAATTACCTTATTCACGCGGAAGAAAAACAATTCAATTAAACTGTGAGCTTTTGTCCGCACATCGCATCGCAGGGAGAGAGAGACAGAACCCTGCAGAATCTTTTCGGGACACTCCACAGTTTCATCATTCCGATTTTTTTCAAATCTGAACCAGCAGTTTGTTTTTTTGTCTCTGGACTGCCCCTGTGTTGTGTCCTGTGTGCAGTGGACTGATGTCCTGAGTGGGGTGTAGCCCCAGTTCCCAGCCCAGAGCATCTTGGTCCGGTTCCAGGCGGGTTCTTCCCTCCCCAGGAAGAAGGAGGAGTCCGGAACAAGCTGCCCAGCCGTGTTGTCAAACCAGAACATCCATCAAGAAACAGTCGGATAACATCCTGGGATCAATTCACCAAACCGACTAGACAGGGCTCACGTTCCCCTCTTGTTTGTCAACTTTTATGTTCTTATGTGTCGTAACCAACAAAGCTTCACCAACAAGCCTTTGTACCTGCCCTGGCCTGCTCTCCCACGGGCCTTCAAGGCCTGATCCCCGAGTAGTCCTTCCCACAAAGCACTGTTAGAGACAGGGAACGCCGGCGAAGGTGGTCGAGACCTGAATTTCTTTCGGCTTTCATTCGTTGGGTTTAGAGACTGAAAAAAGTCTCCAGGCTGCAGAGGTAACATTCAGACACCTGAAGAGGTGAGTTTTCCAAGCGCTGGAGGCTCCCGAAAGACACAAGAGGCTGCGCCTGCACCCCGAAGTCTATGGCGAGGTGACCCGGTGAAACTAATAAGGGGGGGCGCCGGAGTTTCGCTTGGTTGTCTTCCGCGGGAACGGACGGGGGGCGTTCATTCGAAGAGCTGGAGGAGCTGGGGTGAGCACAGGGACTCGGGGGTTCGCCGTGACGCAGCCCTGCTGCTGAGGCGGCGCGCGGGTCTCAGGGGGCTTCGGAGAGGGGCCTTGATCTCCCCCTGGGCCTGGAGCGGCTGGGATTAATGGGATTGTTTCAGCAGCCCAGCTGCAGGGGCTGGGCATTGGCAGGACTTTAAAAGGCTGAGGGGAGAGAGGGAGAGGGAGAGGGGCAGAGCTGTCATACCTGCAGTGAAAACTCCCACTCCAACCACTACAAACACAGCGCACACAGATATGATCTTCCCACAGATCTGCCCTGCGGGCTCTGTTCTCACAAAACCCCGGCAGGCGGCCTCAGCACTGTATTGCCTCAAACGCAGAAAGAACCCTCTCTCGAGACGACTAACGAGCTGGAAGCAGCACAATGGGAATCTCTTCAGTCATGACATCATTTTAATTACATCACTCCTGGGGAACAGAGTATCAATAAACAATACATATCTACTGCACTTCCTTCAGAACTGTATTAGGAAGAGAGAGCTAGCACCGAGCTCTGGAACTGTACGTACACCCACTGTAACCTGGCTTCACCTGTACCTAAGGACCTGTACCTAATAAACAAAACAGCAACCAGTCAGACATTAAAAACAACTGATAGGCAGACATCCACAGACACTGCCTGGCTGCTTTTAAAGGCTTTTGAAACTTGAAAGGCTACTTTCAGGGGGGATGACTGTACACATCACACGTGTCACCAGCGAACTTCAATGGGACCCGTACCTATTTTTGTCAAATGTATATAAACACGGCTTTCATGTACAAGTATGTGCTGGGGGAGAGGGCTTCTCACTGTCGCCCTGTGAACACTGAAGACGCTGCAGGGCCTGTGGCTTTGTAGGCCCACTAGCTTGTTCCAACCTTTCTCTCGCACAAGAAGTGGCAGTTTTAGTCTGAGCAGACTCACGAAGCGCCACGGAAGCGTCAACGGTTCGATAGGCTACTCATGGCTGTTTTTCCCAGCCTGAATCCCATGTGAACGGGCATTGACTGGACTAAATCTGCCCCTGCCAGCGTAAGCCTTCCAAGGCCGGAAGGCTTCCCCACGCACGACGCTGAAACGATCGCTGTCAGACGAAGCGGGGCGCTCCCAGCCTCCGGTTCGAAGGGGCAGTCTAGAAAAATGGAAACGAGTCCACCTGGAGAGCTACAGTCCGGGGTGGCAGAAAGCCCGGGGTCACGGTGGGCCGAGTGTGCCCCAGCCCTGCCGCGCCGCTCGGTGAGTCGGCCCCGAACCGCAGCGGGAGCGAGGCGCTGGGCATTTCCTCTGACGTTGCTCCGCAGTGATGCGCCTCCCCCAGCGTTCACATGGGCCTCTTCCGCAAGCTTCAAACCTCCCACAGATCCCAGCGTTTCTACTGCAAAAACGGGAACTGATCTGTACGTTTCATTAACTGAGCTTTCTTAACTGACAGGCAAACCCAGCAAGAACCAGGGTCCCTCTAGCAAAAACTCATGTCTCGTTTTTCTGTGGAGGGTTAGGGTTGGAGTTGGAGATCCTAGAGGCTCCCGGAAGAACTTGGGGGGACACCAGAGCCGACTATAACCCCCACGAGCAGCAGATCCCGACGTCTCACCCTGGGATCCGCAGCCCGGAAGCAACGGGACAACAAGGAGAGGTGGAGGGACTTTCAGCAGAGGCCCAGGGTCGAGATGGGACCCACCTGCAGCTCCTGGTCTTCCCCTCTTCCTCCGCAGACGGGGGGGACTTCCACACGGCCGCGCGGTATTAATATCCGACGAGTCGCGGCCTGAGCTGTTTGTTCCGCAGCAGGGAAAGAATTACCTCACCTCTCCTCCGCAGAAAGACATCAGTAATACAGAGGCAAGGATGCAGAGGGGGGCAGGAACAGGCCGAGACACCGCGGGATGCTCCTAGGCTTGTATACAAGGACACATCCTCACGCTGTCTGGCTCCCGACAGCCCAGAGACAGAGGAAGACACAGTCACAGACTCAGAAAGATCGGCCTCAAGTGACAACACTAAAGGAAGGAGAGAAAGTCTCGTTTTGGCAGAACAGAAAGCTAGGGCCAGAACCGATTTATTTTTATTTAATTAAGTTACTCGCTTGACTGAGCCCTTTACCGTAGGCGGCAGCTAAATGCTTCTCTGGCATTATAATAATGCCACACTGGAAATTCACAGGTGACCTTTATAGGCTTCCTGGAC